AGAGAGGACAAAGACAAGCACGAAAGAGTGTAAATCATAAAGTATGCACCTCGTGTGAGCCGTGAGAGAAGTTGAGGCGAGCGATGTTCATGCCAGACTTGATCATCTCCTTCAGCATTTCCACAGAGCGAGAGGCCGGTCCTGTAGTCACATGACACAATGCACCATCACTTACTGCTACTTCTGAATTAAGACTATTTAACTTACTATGCGTTTTCTCAACATCCTGCGTCTGTTGCTACATGAAAACAATTCAATAAAGATACAGAACAATGGCAGACAGGGAGAGTTTGGGAAACCCGTCTCGGCTAAAACAAAAAGCACTTATCAGACAGGACCTGGAGTAATTCAACACCTAAATGACATGTAATCCACCAGAGAATTTACTGAACTTTGATCACAGAAGCTAATGTGTTATATTTCTGCTGTATTATAAAGCTGTTTGAAAGTGTGGCAGTAATAGCTTGTAGAACATTCATTTTAAAATCAATCCAGCTGTGTGTGTGTATACATGTCGGAGCATCCACTGACCGATGGTGCAGATGATTCCAGTGTTGCGAGCGATGGTGGGCTCAGAGTCTATGTCCAGCAGACACATGTGCTCCAGGAAGGTGTCGGCCATGGCAGCGTTGAGCTGCTGCGTCTGGATGAAGGCAGAGCCCATATCCTGAGGTTTAGTGTGGGGCATCGTGGAAGAGACGGGTAATATCCTACAGAGACAGAGAAATTACATCTGCATAATCAGTTGACTAATCAGACGTCTAGCGTTTCTAGATGTTTGTGTTTCTTATAATGGACAGAGACAACAAATGACTGAAAACCAGAGTACATATTTAAAGGGTTAGTTCACCCAAAAATGAAAATTTGCCTGCGGTTTACTCACCCTCAAAGCATCCTAGGTGTATGTGACTTTCTTCTTTCAGACGAATCCAATCGGAGTTATATTAAAAAAGGTCCTGGCCCCTCCAAACCTTTCAATGGGGGTAAGCGGGTGTTTGTCGTCAACAGTTCAGAAGACGTGAAAAAGTCTGCGCACTATTCGAAAGGCTTGGAGGGGCCAGGACAATTTTTAATATAACTCCGATTGGATTCGTTTGAAAGAAGAAAGTCATATACACCTAGGATGCTTCGAGGCGAGGGTGAGTAAAACACAGGCTAATTTTCATTTTTTGGTGAACTAACCCTTTAAGGTAAACACAGCAGGCTGTAGTGATTAACCCTGATTTAAACAACAGCATAAACAGTGACAGGATCTCTGTAGGGAGCCTGAAGTCATAAAAGTCAAACGCATTTTGCTGAGAATTTAGAGTCCCATAAATTAAGCTAAAGAGCTATCCTCACGCCAGCTCCTCTGAACATGTCAGTTTGTTTGTGTGTGTGTAGTTAGTAACGGTGTGGTGAAAAGGAATGTTTCCTTTCCATGGTATGCTATGCAACAGACTCCAGCACTCAGAAATACCGTATGAAAACATTAACAAGCGAATATAAAACATTCTCATAGGTCTCTCTCAATATCACCACAATCCCATGATCAAAGCAGACAGGAAGGGTAGAGCATGACCTTCACATTAGCAACATACGGGTGCTGCAGTGGTTTTGGCTTTGGTTTACGCCTGGTAATCAGAGGGTTTCAGGTTTGTTGACGTGAAAGTTGTTTTCTGAACTCACACGTGCACCAGTGTACTGCATCAGAGTCTGAAATCAAATTACGTTTCATGCAGACTCTATGGTCCACTATTGGCTACAAAATCATCTAACAGAACTGAGTGTTCTTACCCAGCTAGTGGTAAATAGCTGTTGCTAATACTCATGGTAGTATTTGCAAAAAATACAATGTGAAAAGAGACAAAAAAATTGAGTCAATCAAGCCCTCTTTGAACCTACAGTAGATGAGACAACCTGAACTTTCATTACAGGAAAACATCTCTATAGCTGCAAGACATGTTAAGGCAATGCTGAGTGAAGATCAAACACACAGAACAGTAAATCAATAAATCTTATACAAACAGACTTGCATCTTAGGAATGTGACCGTACACCGACATGTCTTTATAGTCAGTGAAGTCATACAGCACTAATCAAAACACACACACACACACAGGTCTTTGTGTGCATGAGCTGACCTGGATTTTGTGCCTTAAGGTGGACGCTACTAAAGCTCAATATAAAACAGAGATAATCCACCTGACACAGCCTGACGCACAGGAAAGTCAATGTGATATCCAGCCAATTACAACACTGTTGGCACATGCGAATAAAAATCATGTCAGACTGAACTGTGAATTATAGCTTCAACATCAAATCAGATGCATTCAACAATTTGTGCAAACAGTCAGCTATCTGCATTACATTTTCTTACAGGAAAGTGAAACCAGTCACATGACCACAGTATGGCCGCAGGATGGGTTTGGCAAGGATTTCACTGCGGTCGCTAACCTAATAAAACCACATTGCACTGATGCCAAGGTGGGCTGTCGTACGTGAGGAGATTCACATCACAGCAAACACTCTCACACTCTTCCTCACGTAGTCATGTGATGACTAAGAAAGGCAGGTTGGAAAATCCAGGCCCTCGTGCAGTGAGCCACACACACTCATAGTGAAAGGAGGGGCAATTCCACTTCCTGATACTACGGGAAATAATGCAAGCTGTGGTTTGAGTAACTAACGAGATGGTAATGCTACTTAGCTTACATCAAAGCAGCATGGCAAACACGCCTGTTGTCAGTCCTGGTATTGATTGCTTTAAGCCATGTGCCTCAGAACAGACAGCATCTGATGCTAACAAGGACACTGAAGGTCAATGTTAGCCAGGAATGTCACAAGAAGGTCTTGTTATTATAGGCCTGTTTTATAACCACATACCCTGCTTTATCTCCAAAAATCACAGCTATGAAAACAAAACCTTGACCTCAGAGCCCAATGAACACGAAGAACTTCAAAACAAACTGTACAATTACAAAAGAATTATGAGGCTTAAAGAGGGATGCTATAATAAAATGATAAATAAAAATACAAGAGTCACATTGAAAAGGGTCCCAAACATGCAGAGATCTATGTGGATCAGAACGCTCTTGAAACCATACAGCAATGCCCTGGAAACCGCCCACAACACCCTAACAACTTCACGGGTCAAGTCAATCTGCTTAAGTCATGACATAAGGAAAACTGTTTCCAGGTCCAAGTCTCTACTCGTTTCAATTGAAAATACCATCTCAATTAATTTCACACATTTAAGCTTTAAAAACTCACAGGTTACAATTCAGCCTCTGGGCCCCAATATTTTAACAACTCATAAAAGATGAATCAGTATTACATCACACCGTTTGCTTTTGGCATCTGATAGAGCATTTGGACCCAGAAATTAAAGACCCAGTCACATGTGCAATAATATAGTTTTAATTTTGTGAAGATATAAACAATCAAGCAATAGATATTTGCAATATAGTATATATTGCTTTACATGAGTGCACTGTATATATATGGATAAAGTTTGCTATAGTTAAGTAGCTGACTTAAGGGAGTTTATGCACGACAATATAATTTACATTCCGTGACGATTTTTTTTTTTTTTTGCATCACTAAATTAGTTACTTTCAGAAAATGTAAAAATCCTGTTCTTCAATTTTTTCTCCAGTTAAAGCCACAGTCACACGTGAAAATTTTTAAGGACACTAATATCGTAATATGACGTCACACTCTCTGGCGTCCTTTTAAAAATATGCTACAAATACTACATCCAAAACGTAAAAAAACTTACTGGAATGCTGCAGTCCTAAAGATTTAAAAAGTTTGTGTTCAATTCAGCTAAGAAATCACGCCGATCTTCACACGATACTAGGGATGTAACGATTCACTCAACTCACGATTCGAATCACGATTTTGATTTCACGATTATTTATTTATTTTTTTTACAAAATGAGATTTAAGACAAATGATAAATTAAATGTGTCCTTTTATTATTGCTTGGACAAAATGCTGCACATTTCTTTGTGAAATTGAAATATAACACTATAATAATAATATACTAATATAGCACTTGCATATTATTGCTTTTTTGTTGGTTTTGATTGCTTCTATTGTCCTCATTTGTTAGTCGCCTTGGATAAAAGCGTTTGCTAAATGACAAAATGTAAATAACAAAACTACCTTGAAAACAAAACTACATTGAAATTTTAAAACAAGCCCCGGTACCGTAACGTTTTCATTTTTTTAGTACCGACTTGGTACCGAAATACCGGGTCTTTTGACAACACTAATGCAGAGGCAAGATGAAAAGAAAAAATACCATCTAAACTTTTCTAAAGACAGTAGATTCCCCTCAGACATACATTCATATAAACTCCTACCCCTAATTGAATCGCGATTTGTTTAGCATCTCAACCGATTTGAATCGTCACATATTTGTATCGATTTTCAACCGGCTCGCGGTTAATCGTTACATCCCTACACGATACAAATTCAAAACGTTCACCAGACTTCGGAACACACTTAAATTCGGACAAGCTTGTGAATAAATGGAAAATGGAAGTCAACAGAAAAAAAATAATAATAATTTGCAGTGACCGACCCTTAAGTCCTAAATCCTCAGCTGTGTCGGGTCATATCTGTGGTCTAGTGTTCCTTTGACCTCTGAGCTGATGCTGTCTTACTTTAGAGCATGTCTATTAATCTGCTGCAATCCTGCATCTAAACACACACAGTCAATCACAATGATCTGAAATAGCTTCGACACAAATAACACAGACCTACAACAACTGGTTTAGTAAGTATAAGTGTCCTTTGGGCCTAACAAAGCAGCAGCCCTAAACCCACCTGTAGGCCCTTCGGCTCTGGGAAATAAGGCACCGTGTGTCAGTCAGAGCCCTGCAGAGGAGCGCCAGCGTGTGTGACCTTCTCTCCCCAATCACAGCGCCGCAGACACCGACGCTGGCCAGAATGAAGCAGCATGCATCGTGCTGCCGAAGAGTTGGAGCACTAAATCCTCTTTCCTTCAGAGAGGATAAAACACGCAAGCCACACACACACTTACTGTCCTGCACGAGCAGGACTCGAAGACTCCAGGCCCACATTAGTCCCCAAACACGCTGGTTTAGTTGTGGACTGGCCACTGCAGGCAGTAAACAGTACTGTTTACTGTAGATCACATTACAATGCTGGGTTAAAATAGGAACGGGATGCCATAAGGAGCACTGGACTAGCTGGGATTGTACCAGTATGAAATGCATCAGGCTCGCAGTGGCATGGCAGGACTCATATCTACTGCAGCAAAAAGCTACTGAGGTGAGTCTGTTCTCTTTACTCTATGATTCAGAACAATGACTAATATTTGTGCACTGGTGCGGTCTATGAAAGGCCGGTTTGTGTCACTGCAGAGCTGTGAGTGTCTGTTTCACTGGTCTCTTCTGCTGGTTTAGTAGAAGCTTTTGACATTATGGTGTAACTGAACAGGATGTTACAGCAGCAAAAAGCTACTGAGGTGAGTCTGTTCTCTTTACTCTACGATTCTTCAGAATGACTAATATCTGTGCACTGGGACGACCCTGGTGAGGTCTATGAAAGGCCGGTTTGTGTCACTGCAGAGCTCTGTTTCACTGGTCTCTTCTGCTGGTTTAGTAGAAGCTTTTGACATTATGGTGTAACTGAACAGGATGTTACAGAAAATATTCCCATATTGCATCGACACACACTCACTGCAGAACTGAAAACTGCCTCCCTGGAAGAGTGTGACAGTTTGATGTTAAAGATGTTGAAATGTCTACAAAGTGCCAACACAGTGTTTGTAATAAACCTAATTTGTTGTCTGTTAATGCACACATGAATTCAAGCTATGCATATACAGCAGGGCTGAGCACAAATCAGAATTTATACATGTGCTCCATTTCAATTCCCAGGATATTTGAAATTTGAACGACAGGAAGAACAATAATTTACTAAATAGCATTTAATGAAGAACTCTTTCACCCTGGATCATAAAATTAATTAATTTATTTTTAATGAAATATATAAACGCCCATTTCTGTAGGTGGCATTTTAAACATGATTATTCTATCATTTCTGGAAAAACAGCCAATATGTTGCATGATATAATTTAGACAAAATTCAATTTATTATGATGCTGGCTTGGCAAACTGCTTTATTTAGTTCCATTTTAACTCTAGTTCCAAAAATTCACACTCAAATTTCAATCTAGCTTACTGCCCCAACTGAAATTCAGGAATTGAACGGTGGCAAATTTACTTTTTAAGTGCTTCTGAACTGGCAATGAGGTGTCCTTACATAGACATTTTAATGCTGCTCAGAGTTGACAAATGCATTTATACAGCACTTTTCAACGGTATACTATGTATGGAAGCTTGTTCCACTGCGGGGACAGAAAAAGTAATAGCAACTTTCTCTTACTTAGGCCTTTTTTTCCATACGGTTCCGAGTTCATATCTCACAATTCTGTCTTTTTTTCTTGCAAATCTCAGAATTTCAAGATATAAAGACACAATTGTGACAAAGGTCAGAATTGTGAGATTGCAATAGCTTTTTTTTAAATTTTGTGGCAGAAACAAAACTGAAGCTGCATTATGTCTGGATGTTGAGCAGGCACAGAGCAAACTTAACTCGGCTGTGTAAAGATGCCTTTGGAAACGTAAAAAGTTCTCCATTTATTTCTGAATGACGCACAGCGGACATCAACCTAGAACAGACTGAGAACCAGACTTAAAATCTGACAACGCAGAAAGTGTCAAGGTATGTGATTGCAAGACAAACACACAAAACAGTCCAATTCCTCCCTCGCAGAAACATGATGCAGCATCATAATTAGCACCTGTGCATAATTAGTGAGCGCCCACGCAAGGAGAGCCAGACTGTGCTTCAGATGCCCGCAGGAGAGCGATTCTGAGCCAGTACCATCCATTCATTCATTCATTCCTGAAACTAATAAAGAGTAATATCTTAATGCAATGCACTCCTTGATAATAAAAATAGCAAGGCGTGCGTCAACGTTAAACTGAGCGTTTAGAGCCTCTCCGAAGATCAAACATCCTCATCTTCCTCATAATCATCACCTGCATTCACACAGGTGTTTGCTGGGGAGCATGTGGCGGATGCGCGGCGGGTCACGTCCCGCCTCTGCGTCACATTCTCCGCCTGCGCGAGGGCGCGCACGTAAACCTCTAATTCGAATGAATTCAAAATTAATGACGGTTATTGATAAACTGTCACACATTGAAAATACAGACGACGATGAATGTTAAAAGACGGCTAGTCAGCATAAAACAGCGGAAAACGCAGCGAAATCTACGATTAAAGACGGTAAGTGTGGTGGAAACGAAGTGAAAACGAACTTTTGCGAAATTAAATACAAAAAATAGCACAAAAATTCTCAGCAGGATGAGGAAATACTGACTGAAAATAACCAAACCTGCGCTATTTTATGAGAGCAGCTGCTCTGGCTGACGAAAAACGTAGCTAAATCTGTACACAATAACGTTGCTAATGAAAAATATTACTATATGACTATTATGATGATGATTTTTGTAAGTGCTGCTCAGAGGATAACGTTACTCACCTGCGTTTGCTGATAGTCGGCCGAGACTGATGCGCTCCGGATCGCGAGCTCAAGGTGATCTGCCAAACCAACCGGGAACTACTTCCGTCAAAGGCACACGCGGATTGATACTAATGACGTCAAACTATAAAAATGTCACTATAACTGCTTTTTCAGCAATATATGATAATATCTTTCCCGGGAATGATCTCTAAACGTTTATTGGTGTTTCGTCAATCAAAGAAAAGCACACAAAGCACCAAAGTCTTGATATATAAAGCCAAGCTTCCTGATGGGGGATTATGAAACGCCAAACGAGGGAAGTGGAATGATCCAATCAGAACGCGAGATACGGCACGGTGCCTGAGCACGAGGAGATCACGTGACAGGAGGATGCTGCGCTGCTGCTAAACTAGAAACGAGTGACAAAGTGCTTGTTGATAATCTAAAATACATGTTTAAATAACGCAGTGGACGTATTGCCCATATAAATCTATTCGCCTACAGCGTACACACAGCGAAATTGATGTACTTCCGCGTTAATCCAGACCCGCGCAGACGCACGCAGCATCAGCGTTCATCTTTTTTAACCCTTCAAAGAGCAAACACTGAAGGGGTTTTACCCTTATATGTCGCTTATATAGATCACACTAGTGATGTAAGGACACTACACAAAGTATCATCACGAAATTAACATGCTTATATCACAAATGCCACTTACTCAACCATTATCAACGAGTACCATGGTGGTAGTACTATGCGTTTTTGTGCATATACCATGTTTATCATGCCATGGTAAAACCTTGTTGTTTGGGGACAAGTAAGTTATGTGGCGATACTATGTTGTTGGACACGTGCCACTGTAATTCAGTGTTTTTTGGACGTGCACCATTGTGTTTTGTGCTTGCACCATGGTAGCACTATGCTTTTGACTGATGCATTATGGGAAAAAAACGACTTATAAATAAGGTAGTCATTCAAAGCTGCCTGGTAATATGAATCAATCGGTTATTATCATTTGATGCCATCATTGCAATGGCTAATGGCATGCAATTGTGTAATTTACGACAGGAATGTAAATATGAAGTGATTAATTACATGAATAATTGTATATTTGTGTCACTTGGAGACATTCATAGAGCAGCTGTTGCATTCGTTAATTAATAGCACCCTCTAGTGTGCATATGCTGTCACCAATGGCAGTGAAAACATTTTTTCTGTCTCTACTGTATTTTAGATCAGATATGCACGGAGTCTGGGCAGGTAAAGCCAATGCAAGATTATGGCATCCATATGAAAGATCAGCACCAAGGTTAGTTTAATGACACAACTAAAGATTCAAATGCAACAGTTTCATGGCACAGACTTCAAATCTGCACTATTTATTTCTGTACTTTTAACCAGGAATGATATGGCGTATAATGAGTGAAAGTATAGGATTATTACACATAGAAATATCTGAATGTTATATGAAACCATATGCATCGGCTTTTCATCTTGTGATTGATTCCCAGAACTGGAATTAACCTCTGCATTTAATGGCAAGCTAATTAAACTCTGCAAACTAATTAAACATCCACTTGTAATTGGGGGTTCATGGTGCATCTGCTATATGCTTCACTGCCATTGAACGTGCATAACACATATTTTGCAGTTTACACACTAAATTATTTCTGTGGTGATTGACAGCAGGCACAGATGCCTAGATTTGTATTGAGCTTAAAATATAAGCTTCAATATAATTTTTCAACAAATTTTTCAATATAAAATTTGTTGAAATTGTTAAAAAGAAAATTGTGTGCATATACATTAAGCATGCAAAATAACGAGGTCACCAGGTGACAACAATGTAGCATGCATGCTGTTTAAACTGTCCAGTCACAGTATTTCTCCACCTGGTGGTCACAGGCGGAGGTGTTTCATCTCAAAAGACGTTTCATCTGTGTGTGATTTTTGTCAATTTTCAGGCCTCTGCAGATAAAATGCACCACTTTTGAAAACAATCCCCGTGCAACACTGCAAAACTGCACTTTAACTTCCGCAACACTGATGCTCAGCCTAAAATAAAAGGTTTATAGGAAACTTTGGCCATATTTGAGGACTAGCAGGATTGAACCTGACAGAATTAAATGCATCGTTTTAATATATGCAGCATTTCATGTTCTGGACTAGTATTGGTTATTGTTTGAAGATGAGTCTGTTTTGAGGCCAGTTTGATGCTTTCGTACTACATTGACCATCTGCACGTCTGTGTCCAGGTGAAGGTGTGTGAACTCACCTGCTCTCCACGACGGCCCCGCCGCTGCTGCTGCTCCCGCTGCCCATGCTGACCGCTGCTCACTGACCGCTGCTCACCTGCTGCGTGTCCTTGTGCCTCTCGCCCAAACCCATCGGCCAATCCGTGCAAACCTCGACCTGTAAGCCGCCAGTGCTGTCTGCATCGACAGGCAGTGGTCAAATCCCAGCGTAAATCCCACTGATGCACTCTGGATTGGCTGTCAGTTGCAACAGTGTTCTGGAGAGCTTCTCAAACTGTGCTCAGGTTTGCAATGACAACAAAGTCTGCAATCAAAAATCAGATGTTCTTTTGATCCACATTAACTTCAATGCTCTATATTCTATACTGACTCGGAGCCTGTTTTTATTTTTCAAAGGAATTCTTAGAGCTACAAAATTGATGCATTAATTGATAAAGTCTCCTTTATGAGGAATAAAAGCACACACATCCACAACATTTACCTACAGATACACATGCTGAATGTTTATTATGGTGTACATTATGAAATTACTTGATGCTTTCGGCAAGCAATGTTATTTTAGGAGCATTGAAGTACTATTATAGTTTAATACTTTGAATTATTTTCTGTTTTAAATATTTTCTATTTTGCCGTTTTCTTGTGTTTTTTGTCATTAACATTTTTTTTTTTATTTAGAAAATATGTATATATTATTTATTATTTAATTTGTAAAATTATTTATGAATTTATAGCTCACTTGAATTATTATTATTTCAATGAATTATTACTATTAGTAATTTTAGTGCATCAAGTTAAACTAAATGTAAATGAGAAATAAAGTTTTAGTTTTTTATATTTTATTTTATTTCAGTGATTTCAGCAGTGTTATTTTATTATTAATTATATACTAATATAGTATTTATGAATATTTTGAATTATTGTTTATTTTGTTATTTTCAGTTTTCTTTTAATAATTATGTGTGCTTTGTCATTTTTATTAAATTTTTTTTTTAAATGTTTATTTTTATTTCAGATTTAGTTTTGGTAATTTTAGTACCTATTAGTGTTTATTTATTTTAGTTAGCTGCTAAAGCAACATTTCTCATTTTTGTTCTCAAATGTAAGTTTCTTATGTTTAGGTTTTTCATCTAATATTTAATTTTATTTAGATTTTTTTTCAATACCGAAAATTATTTTTAATAGTTTTAGTATTAATTAACAATAACAGCACTGGTCAGCAGATACTCAAAAGCCATTTGTCATACTAAATTAGGTTTAAAACACACTGGTGAAGATGTGCTTTACCCGTTGCTTCTAAAATAGGCATTTGCTATTTTAAGTTTTTCTGAATAATTAATGCAAGTGTCTTCTTTACAGGAAAGCAGGATATGAGACAGTGCTGTGTCGCTCTCAGAGACGTGAGTCACGCAGCCGAGGACGAGCCGGATAATGGCTTATCTCTCTCTCTCTCTCTTTCTCTCTCTCTCTCTCGCTCTGGAGGTCATTGTGTACAGCGAGGCTCTTAAAGAGGTAAGCAGAGTAAACTCTGATTAGTATGGTACCGGCTGAGGCCGTCACACCACAGACTAGAGCTGACGTAAAGAACACAATCACATGCATTTATACAAACGTCTTTGTGTTCTGCTCACATTCCTCAATACACAATCATAAAAACACACAGAGATAAAAATAGGCTCGTCTGATAATAATAGCACACTGCCATTGGCCAATGCACCATCACGACACAGATGTTGCTTTATTCTCTTCATCTCGCTCTTTCTTTTTCTCCCTCAGTTTCAGTTTTCAAATTCAAAGCCATCATTTTGGATGATTTACTTAAAAAAGGTGCCAGCAATGTAATAAAATAAAATATTAAAAAGACATTAAGAATATACTGTTGCTCTTGAATATGGTGGGTTTGATCTTTTTTTCTGGCAATCCAGGCAAATGCATTGCATCTCTCTCTCTCTCTGTTGTCAGCTGTAGGTCACATGACTCTCTCTGCTGGCTCTCACTGAGCATGCTCAGTTCACTGTGTTGTCAGGCAAAAAAGAAGACAGCTCTGGAACAGACGAGATCTGCAATAGATAAACACACAGACACACAGAGAGAGCCGGAGAGGGAGCGCTAGTATGGAAGGGCGCTGCTAGTGCACAGTAATTCTGCCGTATTGGATGGTTTGGGGCCGTGTTTCTGTATGCATTGTGCTGTTCATCCGCTGTGTGTCGTGTCGGAGGAGAAGCATCCGTCTGGCGGTCGCTCCATCCTCGCTGAAGGTGAGCCGGATGTGGGGGAGGGGGTGTCGTGGATGCTGGCCGTCTGTGTTTTTGGGATGCATCGGTATGTGGTGGCTCCAGCGGGGCATTATGGGTGTTTGAGGACACACAGGGGACTCGAGCAGATGGATGCTGTCGAATGTGATGATTAGACTGATATGTCGGCCGTAAATCATTCAGTGCATATGATTGCATGATTAACAGAAGTGTATTTCCATCCAAAATCTGAGAGCCACATATTTGTTAGTGAACATGTTATATAAAATTCCAGGTATTTGTGTGCATCTTATTTGTTGTCTTTAAATTTGCTCTCTAGATATCAGTATGTTAGTTTTTACTGATTTCATGCAGGGTTGACATAAAAGTGATGATATTCACAAAGACGTGTATTATACAATAATATAAAAACATAGTTGAAACCACAAAACTGATGGATTTCATAGATGTTTTAGATCTTATCTAAATATCTTTGTCTTGCAAAATTATATTTCTGCTTTCAAATTAAGTTTAAAATGAGTTATTATTCATGGCCAAAGAAACCGGAATAGTATGTGGATTTGCGTCATGATTTTTCATGACAATTAAACAGATTTTCCCTCTAAAAATTTTGAAATTCTGTAATGTGTCCAGATGTTTTCATTTTGAATTTTATTTGTAATTTGCAAGCAAGTTTATTGATATAGTATCCATTTCATACAAAATGGTAATTCAATGTGCTTTACATAAAAAATAATTACAAATATTCATAAAGTAATTACAACAGATGTAGAAAAAATTAAAGTAACTATAAAAGCGAAGAATAAACAAAATCATTATTTTTAATTGTAGAATCTCATTATTGTAATACAGTATTTTATTGTATTAAAGTAAAAATACATAAAAATTATTTCAATATGAATGCAAAAAATAATATCACAATGCAAACAAAAGTAAATCCTTCAATGAAAAAAAATTGGTGTAGAAACAGTTTTCACTCAGAAATTGCTTGTAAATTTCACAATTGATTACAAAGAAACTGCAAGTAACACATTGAATTAAACATGAAAATTTGAAGTAGAAAGAGTAAAATAGTATTTTCTTGTAAAACATACTCCAATAATCTGTTTTATTTACAACTTAGAATTTTTATTTATTTATCATAATTTGTCATCCTTAGATTCTCATTATTGTAATGTATTAAAGTAAAAATCAATTAAAAAAATTATTTCACAATGCAAAAAAAACACAATGCTCCTAAAAGCGATATTTTAATGCAGAATAAATGAAGAGTTCAGATGCAAAAGCCTCTAAATGCCATCTGAAATTTTCTTCTAAAATGGGCATTTTTATCAGGCTCCTATATTTATGTTCAGTTATTTCACTTTAATTGCATAGAAAAGGACCTATACATTGCCATTAGAGTAAAATTATTGAACCTAAACATAGAAGCCTGATAAAAATGCTCATTTTAGACGAAAATTTCAGATGGCACTTAGAGGCTTTTGCATCTGAACTCTTCAAATATTGTTTTATTTTTATCTTTTGAATATAGGGAGAAATAAAAGCCGTGCATGTTCTTGGCAGATTTTGTGACGTCCATGTGGTGTGTTTTGTCAGTATTTATCAGATATGACTTGTACAGGACTACTTGGGAAATTTCTTCTATAAATTTGTGCCCACGCACACACACACACACACACAGACACGAAACAGTGTCACAGACAGAAGGGGTTGTTGCTAGGATACGCAGTGGCGAGATGGAGGAGAAAGAACAGAACGTTATTTTAAACGGCTGCGCTGAGGTGAAACCAGAGACAGAAAGACGCCTCGGTTTCTGTAGGTCTACAGGACTGGATGCCTGCCATCTGCACGCTCACAAATATGACACTGGAATTTTTAATGTGAGAAAATGTCAGCGATGTTTGACCGAGCAAAGCTCACGACGTGAGATTGATGCTGCCTGGTTGCAGAAGAGTTCTGGGAGGTTTGTTGTGCAGATGCTAGGGTGTTCTGAATGGTTGCTAGGGTGATTTCTAAGAAGGTTTGCTATTGTCTTAAGTAAAAAGAGTCTCTCTTTAAGTCTTCTATGCATTGTAAAAATCCAGTGTTGCTTTTGAGTTTTATTTGTAATTTTCATTATTTTTAATGGTAATTCTCATTAGGTTCTAATTAGTTTTTTTATGTATTAAAGTTAAAATACATTAAAATACAATAAAATACAATACAATAAGAAAAGTCACAGTGCAAAAACACAAAACATAAATGGTCCTAAAATTTTTTCATGCAGAATACACACACACACACACACACACACACACAAATACATATATATTTCCAATAATCTTTGTTTTATTTACAACTTTAAAACACAAGTTTTTACAGTAATTTTACAATAACTTTTCAATGTTCATATGTGTGATTGTTTTATCATCCAGCAGATGAAAATATTAAGTTTATTAGTGGCAGTGATGCTTGCAAACAGCACTAAGCACAGCTTCTTTCCTTTATTACAAATCTTATATAATCTTTATGACTGCAGATTAGGGATATGCCGGTATCAAATTTTCATGTTGCGATTAATTGCTAATGCTTTTATTACAAAATTGGTGCAGAAACAATTTTCACTTGGAAATTGCTAGTAAATTTCACAATTAATTACGAAGAAATGGCAAGTTACACATTGAATTAAACGATATTTTGAAGTACAAAGACTAAAATAGTATTTTCTTGTAAAACATATTCCAATAATCTTCATACAGCGGTGTTGTGCATTTTGACCAGTTGATGGGAAAAGTATTCTTAAAATGCATTCAAAATTCTGAATAATTTGTAATATATAATTATTCACGGTATTTAGAAGTGCCCACGATAACAATATCGTGCATATTCATTACCGTGATATATCGCATTACCGAATACCGGCACAAGTCTACTGCAGATATCACATTATTGTCTCTCTTGAAATGCATAAATCTGCAGGTGTATAATAATTTGTCATTTCTCTCTGGTAACTGGTTATTGAGTTAAATGGAGAGCTCTCTGTGGTTTTGATAAACGATTTGTCTAATAATCTGTTTATTTTTCCACAGAAAGCACAGAGCTCATCTTACTGAAGACGTCTCCTGTCGTCCCAGAGTGCCTGTTGTTTTGTGTTTTGAGCTGAAATGGATCAGAAAAGCTTCATCCTGTTAGAGACGCGTCTGTGAACACCGGAGCCAATGGTGAGCGTTCACACTTCATTACACACACAAACACCGTCAGACACGGCCTGCGTTCAGCTGCGGGTCTCTGGACACAAACACCGTGCTGATGAAGAATGTGAGATGACACAACTGTAACTCTTTACTTGACCTTTGGCTAAGCTCCGCCCCCCTCGGTTACTGTTGCTCGCTCAAAACATCCCATAGGAGTCAATTGGAAATTTGCCATTCGATTTGCAGTAAAATGAGCGCATAAATTGAAAAAGTATATTCGATGTTATTGTAATTGTAAATGAATTATGAGATTGTGACAAAAAAAAAAATGTATCAGCCGTTTTTCTTTTTAGAACCCCAACCCTAAATTGTTTCATTAAATTGTTTAAAACTCATATTTTAAAATTAGTTTATAAGTTTAATCCATTTAGTTTATTTCTGTGTATTTTGGATGTATAATTATTTTGATTTTCTTCTATTGATGTACTTAAATTAATTTTATTTGTATTTATTTTTATCTCTTTTGAGATTTGTACTTTTATACTGCATTGTTGCCTGTGAATGTGAGAGAGACACTTTTTGATTATTATTATTATTGATAATCGGTCAGAATCGAGTCAAACTCTTCTCACAGTCACTGAAAAGAAAAAAGCCTAATTTGACAGTGATTACAGATGATCACATTAATTCCTAATGTTTCTGCAATGCATTGACTCTGGTACTGTACTCTACTCTAAACACTAAAACGCCAACCAAAATTTTAGATACCAAAATATTGAACTATTGAAGTGATTATCAGCGCTGTGTGTTCAGTGAAAAATCCAGAATAAATGTGCATTTTAACTAAAACAAAAACTATTAAAAATTGTTTTCATTAATTGAAATAAAGCTGAAATCAAATCTAATCTAAATATTAGATGAAAAACGTACAAAATGGAAATTAGACATGTTGCCTTGGTAACTAACTGAAATAAATGAGTTTAGGTTGAAGTACTATAATTCCTGAAACTAAAACTGAAATAGAAAAGTTATAAAAAAAATATAAATATTAAAAACCAAAAAATGCTAAAAAGTACAAAAAAAGCACATAATTAAAAAAACTATTAAAACGTCAACTAAAATTCAAATGAAAACTTAAAATAAAACTTAAATAAAATAAAAAACTAAAATAAAATACAAATAAAAGCTAAAATAAATAAATACTATAAATGCTACTAAAATAGCACCGCGTGTGTTTTATTCAGGATATTAAAGGCCAGGGCTGGACGGATGAAGAATCGGATGGAGAGAACGAACCGGAGCAGTTCCTGTACGGGATTCAGGTAAAACACTTCAGTCGTCAAAACATTTCTTACATTAGGTTAGTACATTTGTTTTTGTTTTAAAGATATTGATAGGTTTAATCTACACTGTAAAAAATGACCGTTAATTTAACGGTAAAAGACTGTAAAAATGCTACAGTAAAATCCTGTTAAATGGTTAATGGTAAATTCCCCTACTATATACGGTGAAAAACTGTATTGGACATTACATGTATTGGACATTAATTTTACGGTAGTTTAAACATTTTGTAAGTAATTTTAATGTTAGTGATGTTGCCTGTATTACAAGGCAGCAAAATACGGTTTAACTTAAAACTTTTTCATCAAATAGTGTATTTTTTTTTTCTATTTTAATTTTGTTTGTTGTGAGCATTCATTTGAGTACAATCATGTAGCATATTTCAAGTTACATACAATGCTCAATGCAACCATGGAGTATCTTGTACAATTATGTACAATTACCTAGTATGTTTTAACTATAAATTATACTCAACCTTCATTAAATTGTTTCAAAGTACAACCTGTTTTTCTTTTTACAAAGTAAAGTAACGTTAAAATAAAATGTATATTAAATAAATAAATAACTATATTCATCCAGGGAGAGAACATGTGTCCTAATTCAATTCCATCCAGAATAACCTCAAATGACCTTCATTATGTATATAGATATTAAACAGAGTACATGCATATTTGCAAACATGTACATATACACACACACAAGCATATATTATATTACATGTATCTATCTATATATTGATCATCTTTTATTTATTTATCCAAATAGTGTATTTAATGCCTTTATTTTCATTTGTATACTGTTTCTTCATGTAAGAAATATTTCCTTTTGGGTTTAAATCTCAAATGAATAACGGTGTAGAAACAACTGGTTATTTGCACCTCTAGCCATAAAAGTGAAGTAAACGAGCCATATGTGACCCTGGAGCACAAAACCGGTCATAAGGGTCATTTTTCTGAAACTGAGATTTATACATAATCTGGAAGCTGAGGGTGCAAAAAAATCTAAATATTGAGAAAATCGCTTTTAAAGTTGTCCAAATGAAGTTCTTAGCAATGCATATTACTAATAAAAAATTAAGTTTTGATATATTTACGGTAGGAAACTTACAAAATATCTTCATGGAACATGATCTTTACTTAATATCCTAATGATTTTTGGCATAAAAGAAAAATGTATAATTTTGACCCATACAATGTATTTTTGGCTATTGTTACAAATATACCCCAGCGACTTAAGACTGCTTTTGTGCTCCAGGCTCACAATTAATAATGTGTAATATCGCTGTCCACCTGTAGGGGAGCTGTGCAGCCGACCTGTACCGTCACCCTCAGCTGGACGCTGACATCGAGGCTGTAAAAGACATTTACACGGACAGCGCTGTGTCCGTCAGGTGAGAACGACCCTCGCTCCGCATCTGATTGGGATCTGTGCATTCACACCCGATTCACTTTCATTCTGAGTCTGCTGCTCTTCCTGCAGAGAGTACGGCACCATCGATGACGTGGACATCGACCTGCAAATCAACATCGGCTTCTTGGATGTGAGACCACACACTTCCTATACAAGCTACTTCACTTCATAAACAGATGTTGAAATGGGAATAAAGTGATTTGTGTGTTTGCAGGAGGAGGTGGCGACCGCATGGAAGGTGATCCGAACGGAGCCCATCGTCTTACGCCTCCGTTTCTCTCTCTCACAGTATCTGGATGGACCAGGTGAGAAGCGTCTGCATTTCTGTGCCTGTGTGTCTGCAGGCCTTTTATTTACTTTACACTACTTTTATTCAATTTATTCCTACAGAACCGTCTGTGGAGGTGTTTCAGCCGTCCAATAAAGAAAGCTTCAGTTTGGGCCTTCAACTAAAGAAGTAAGTCAACATACTGGCGATCATATTGAATTAAAAGAAAGATTTGCTCATTTTATGGTTTCTTATAGAGTCATTCTAATTGATTTATTCAGCAAGGCTGCATTAAATTGATCAAAAGTGACAGTAAAGTCAAATAAATAATTATTTTTCAAATAAATGCTGTTCTTTACACTGCAAAACAGGCTTATCTTAGTATTTTTGTCTTGTTTCCAGTCAAAATATCTAAAAATTCTTAAATTAAGATGCATTTACTAGATAAGCAAAATGACATGAGATAATTTGTCTTGTTTCCAGAAAAAAAAAAAAAACTAAATTAAGTGCATTTTGCTTAAAATAAGTAAAATTATCTGCCCGTGGGGTGAGTAAATTACTCTTGTTTTAAGAATATTTTACTTACCCCACGGGCAGATAATTTTACTCGTTTTAAGCAAAATGCACTTAATTTAATTTAGTTTTTTTTTTTTTTTTGCCTGGAAACAAGACAAAAATGCTAAGATAAGCTTTTTTTTTTGCAGTGTTTGAACTTTCTATTCATCTGTGAATCCTGAAAAATAAAATGTATCACGTTTCCACAAAAACATTGGGCAGCACGACTGTTTTCAACACTGATAATAATCAGAAATGTTTCTCGAGCAGCAAATTAGAATGATTTCTGAAGATCATGTGACACTGAAGACTGGAGTAATGATGCTGAAAATACAGCTGCGCATCACAGAAATAAATTACAGTTTAACAGATAGGAGTAATGATGCTGAAAATACAGCTGCGCATCACAGAAATACATTACAGTTTAACAGATATTCACATAGAAAACAGCTATTGGGAATTATAATATTATTTAACATTTTTACAGTATTTTTGATCAAATAAATGCAGCCTTGGTGAGCAGAAGCATTAAAAAAATATTTTCATTGGTAGTGTGTATTATGTGTATTTTAGCACAACTGGAACACTGGATTGGCCAATCAGCATCTAGAACTGAAACAATAATTTTCAAAAAGATTCTTGTTCACTGCAGTTTTATTATGAGTCACTCTGTTTGATTGATTTATTGAGCAAAAACTGTAATGAAAGACTGTCAAAATAAAGCTGAAGCTTGTTTTGGTGTTTCTAGGATCCTCAGTACGTTCACGTCGCAGCAGTGGAAGCACCTCAGTAATGAGTTCCTCAAAGCCCAGCAGGAGAAGCGACACAGCTGGTTCAAAGCCGGAGGAACCATCAAGAAATTTCGTGCAGGACTGAGCATCTTCTCCCCGATTCCCAAGTACGTCCTTATCATTTGATATGAAAACACACGTCATGCACGCTAACAATCTGATCGTGGTTGATGCATCTGAAATAGGGCTCAACAGTGATCGGCTGGAAGTGTTTTCCCATTCATTTTCTCCATAGGGAACTCAATTCAATTCAGTAATCAGTTTGAAGCAATGAACCAAACTTCAGAATGATCACAACATTACAAGCAAAAAAAAGTAATACAATTTAAACAACAAAGGTACACGATTGCTACAGCGTCCCATATTGACTCACAGTATATAATTACCTAGTTAGGCTCCATAAATCCACTGCAGGATTTATTATGTTTCCATGGTAACTGCAACTTCTTTGGCTTCAGGATTATGGGTAGTGAAGTTCCTCACCTGGGGAACAGGATTTGTTTTGAAATGACGTATTGTCACATTATATTTACATTTACATTCATGCATTTTGCAAACACTTCTATGCATAGTTGTGTACACTTGCATTCAAGCTATATATATTTTTTCGATTCATGCATTCACTGGGAATTGAAAGCAATGCAGTGTTGCTAATGCCGTGCTGTTTGAGCTACAGGAGGGCTATCATTGTCATATACGGTTAGGTCTGCAATGAAAGGTTTAGTTTAATTCAGATTTATTATAAGGAGATTTTGAATGACGATTTTGCTTCCTGAGCCCGACTGTTGAGCTTTATTAAAAAAAAAAAAATCTGTTTTGTATATTTGTCATTTTTATATTATATTATATTATATTATATTAAAGTGAGTATCTGCAATGGTCTCAGAAAAATAAACCTAATTTAAAGGGAAAACAAGATTATTTTTCTGACTCCATTGGCAGATTTTTTTTTGTCTTGTTTTAAGCAAAAACTCATTTAATTTTGATGCATTTTTCACAAAACAAGCCAATATCTTTTATTATTTTGCTTCTCAAGTAAATAAAAGATCAAGTAAACAAGTCAACAAAAGAAATTATGTCTTGTTTTGTAAAACATTTATAAAAAAATAAAGTGAGTTTAAGCTTAAAACAAGAAAAGATATCTGTCAGTGGGGTCAGAAAAATAAACTAAATTTAATGGGAAAACAACTTTATTTTTCTGACACCATTAAAATGTATTTTTTCATGTTTTAAGCAAAAACCCATTTCATTTTGATGCATTTTTTACAAAATAAGAGTTAGTCTCCTATATCATTTAGCTACTGAAGTTAATGTGTTTAATTAAAAATGGTTAGATGTTTGTACTGGAAAACGAGACAAAAATACTTAAATAAGAAGTCAGTTTGCAGTGCAAGTTCTGCTTTCTACTAGTCGGCAAGCATAATTAAGGTAATTCCAGCGTGAACTCATCCGCTGGCTGTGGCCTCCATCTTGGCTCCAGGTCTCCCAGTTTCCCCCTGATCCAGGACACAGTGTTGAAAGGCAAACTGAACGTGCCCGAGCTCAGAGTCACCCGGCTCATGAACCGCTCCATCTCCTGTACCATGAAGAACCCCAAGGGGGAGCTGTTTAGCTATCCTCCGAACAGCCAGGTCAGCATCCCGTCTTCCCCGACTGCACGCTTTCCTTTCCAAACACTCTCCTCGCTTCTCCATACCCGTGACCCCTCACTAGGGCCTCCAGATAAAACATGGATGCACAGTCCCTCATCCCAGCCCTCAGCCTCTTTGCCCTCCGACACCCCCCTCGCCTAACACGGCTGGCTGGCACCTTTCCCATAATGCTTTGTCTCCGTTAACCCATCAGACTGTGGCTGTCCCGGCGGGCAGGGCCCCTGCGCAGATTACCACCCGCCAGCTGATTGAGTTGTTTTTCTCATCCCAGGCGGGCGGACACTGCAAGAACATCCCCACGCTGGAGTACGGCTTCCTCGTGCAGGTACCGTCTCACCACAGCCTCAGCGACACGCACGACTTCATCCTTTCCCATGATGCCCAGAGTACATCCCAACATCACATCCGTGCATGTCGAGTGCAGCGTCTTAGTGAGGCTAAATACGGTGCTGCCGTAAATCTCGTAAAAGGTCATAATCATGATGACGCAGAGGATTAAAGCACCTGCCAAAAATGTACAGCTTTATTTTGAATGAAAAAACAAACAAACAAACAAAAACAGAATTAATGCACATCTAAGGTGATAAAATTCAACAAACTTAAATATGCATTAATGACGCAGAGGATTACAGCACCTACCAAAAATGTACAGCTTACATGATTTTGAATTTTAAAGATAAAATAAAATTACATTAAATAACAAATGAAAAGAAATTAAAAATTATTAAATTTAATTAAATTATACATTAAATAACAAATTAAATGAAATTAAATTATAGATAAATAAATAAAACAACAAGCAATAAGCAGTCTATTACATTAATAAACATTTAAGGTGATAAAATGACAAACTTTAATATGCATTAATGACGCACAGGATTAAAGCACCTTCCAAAAATGTACAGTTTTATTTTGAGGTTTAAAAATTAAATTAAATTAAATTAAATTAAATTAAAAATACAAAGAATAAGAATACCGAATAAGCAACTGTCTACTAAATTATTGATAATTAATTCACTCCAAGGGTGATAAAACAATATGTTGAGTAGACTAGAATCGCAAATTTTTTTTAAAATTTTGACCACTTGTATATGTGTTTATCTTTTTTATTCTTTTTTCAGATTTTCATTCTTAAAAGGCTCTCGTTTCTTAAATCTCTTAAGTATTTTGCTTAAAACTGCAGTTATTAATTCAAAAGGAACATGGCGGAGTGATGTGCAACTGTAATGTAGTAATGAACCTGTGATTATTTCATAACCGTGCTGTTATTACAGTAATAAGGTTCAAGAGGCCGTGCTATAGAGTGAAGAATAGCCACAGCTGAAAGATGTTTCAGTAATATTCATAATATAGCATTATATGACACGAACCTTATTGCTTAGCAGCACAGCTAAATTTAGGACACATTCACATTCATTCAAATGTGATTTTGTGAAACGTGATATACATAGTAGCTGTTTTACATCATTGCTGCTTGGGGTTAGTAAGATTGTTTTTAAAGAGATTAAGGCTGCATTAAATTGATCAAAAGTGACAGTAAAGACATTTATAATATCTGTGGTCGACCCCAATGACCCCAAAACGCTCGCCTTCAACCCGAAGGTGACCGTCGCTACTTGCACTCATATGAACTATTGTTTGATCTGGTACTCTGCAAATTCATCAGTATAAATGTAGATTTTGTGCATTAGAGACACATCTGTGAGCCTGGAGCACAAAAGCAGTCTTAAGTCGCTGGGGTATATTTGTAGCAATAGCCAACAATACATTGTATGGGTCAAAATTATCCATTTTTCTTTTATGCCAAAAATCATTAGGATATTAAGTAAAGATCATGTTCCATGAAGATATTTTGTAAGTTTCCTACCGTAAATATATCAAAACGTAATTTTTGATTAGTAATATGCATTGCTAAGAACTTCATTTGGACAACTTTAAAGATGATTTTCTCAATATTTGTTTTTTTTTTTAGCAAAAAAAAAAAAACATCTGCTGTGCAACAGGGCTCAAAGCATCAGTATGGAAGCCCATTTCCACCACTGCATAAAATATAAAAAAAGATTATTGTGACTTTGTATCTCACAATTCTGACTTTTTTTCTTGCAATTGCGAGTTCACATCTCACAATTCTTATAAAGTCAGAATAGTCTTTTTTTCCCCTCAGAATTGGACTTTATAACTCGCAATTGTGAGATTATATCTCATAATTCTGAGAAAAGGAGTCAGAATTGCAATAAAAAAGTCAAAATTGTGAAATGTGAACTTGAAATTGCATTAAAAAAAATCACAATTACCTTGTTTTATTTTTTATTCAGTGGTGGAAACGGTCTTCCATACATCAGTCAAGCACTACTTAACCGCATGTTTATAATGTACTGAAACTACACAACTACACAAAAAATTTTTTCTTATTTTGTACTTTATTTTCGTTTTCAATACAAATACCTCAACATTCTTAAATCAAGATGCATTCACTTGAGAAACGAAATGGCTTAAGATATTAAGTCTAGTTTCTTGATAAAAATTATCAAAATTAAGTGAGTTTATAATCAAAAACTCTTGTGTTGAATTCTAGTCATTTTCCAGCCTTTTAAAAGTTGCTTATAAATCTCTCATTATGATATATTATCACCAAATCCTGGATTTAATCTGTTTGTTTTCTTTCAGTTAGCACAGTTTTGTGTTTCTTTTTGGAATTGATTGATTGTAGGCCTCATTGATCAGAGCTCGTGCACCTCAGTTTTTGAGTGAACATTGGCAAAATTATCCAAATAATGTTCTTTTCACTCAAAAATGCATAAGCTCAGATCAATAAGGCCTACGATCAGTCAATTCCAAAAAGAAACACAGCTAATTATGCTAATTGAAAGAAAAGAAGTTTTGAATCCAAGATTTGGTGATGATATAATTAGAGATATACAAGCAATATTTAAAAGGCTGGTCATTTTTTACATCAAATTAGGTGCTGAATTTCAGTACAGATCAAGGGTTAAAACAAGAAAACAACATCTGTTTTTAAGCATCAACGCACTAATTTTAGATAAATTTGTTCAAAAAACAAGACATTATTTTGCTTCTTTAGTAAATGTGTCTTGATTTAGGAATGTTTTTATGTTTGTACTGAAAAAGACAAAAACAAAATACTGAGTAAGAAAATTTTTTTTTGCAGTGTATTAAGATTCAAATCAGCTTGACTTCAACTTTAACCAGGATCAACTGTTTTTAGTCAGTCTACTTGCTAAAAAATGATCCTTAAATCTTTATAAAATATCTTTCCCACAACATTCCTGTGGAATATCCTTATTAAATCATACAAAGACTAAATTAAAATTTGAAAAAAGAATTTGCATGTACAAAAATGATATTGATAAATGAGTTGTCAGAGGCTGTTTTTCTGAAACTGTATCTGTATTTTCAGGGCTCGTATCTGGAGATTAAGAAGCAGATGGATAAACTGGATCCTCTGGCTCATCCGTTACTGCAGTGGTGAGTTAATAAGCAACAGGCCAGGCATTACAGTGATTTTACCACAGTAAGTGTGATTAGGCCTTTCTGATGGTTTATTTTATCTGTCTCTCTCTGCAGGATCATATCCAGTAACAGGTCTCATATTGTGAAGCTGCCACTCAGTAGGGTAAGATGAACACTTTTAAATTCAAGAACAGCTTAACTTTTATAAGCTTGCCTTTGTTCATTTCACTTCTGTGTTTTGCTGTTTATAGCAGCTGAAGTTCATGCACACATCTCATCAGTTTCTGCTGTTGAGCAGCCCGCCTGCAAAAGAAGCTCGATTTCGCACCGCAAAGAAACTCTATGGCAGCACCTTTGCCTTCCAGTGAGTCACAGTGACCTGCAGAAACACACGCATGTCACAGAGAATCAAACTCACGCCAGAGCCGATCACATCACTGTCTGCACTCGCTGAACGATGCAACCAACCCAAATGCTCCGGTTAGAATTAACAAAGCTGTTGTAGGTTGCACTCATATATTTGGTGTGGACTTTGATCAAATAAATGCAGCCTTAGTTTTGTTTCAAAAACGAAAATATTAGAGACTTCTTTCAAAAACAACAAACTAGAATGCCTCCATTATAATCAAAAAACTGTCTGCAGTAAATGCTACATGTTGCAGCAGGAACTGTTAGAAATATCATTTGATTAAGCACTACATTTTGAGTTACAAATTACATTTTGATTGCAAACTACATTTTAATTACATTTACATTTAGTCATTTAGCAGACGCTTCTATCCAAAGCGACTTACAAATGAGGACAATAGAAGCAATCAAAACTAACAAAAGAGCAACAATATGTAAGTGCAAATGAGATCGCTCGGTTAACCCAATGCAGTACACATATCTCTAAAAGAGTTGGGTTAAGAGTGGGTTTCTTAAGAAGTGGGGTTATACGAGCCTGTTTAAATGTTGAGGGAAAAACACCAGTGTGAAGGGATGTGTTAACGATGTGAGTGAGTGCAGGTACAACGGCAGGAGAAATGGCTTGAAGGAGATGAGGTGAAATAGCATCAAGCGGACAAGTAGTAGGATGATTGAAAAGGATGAGTTTAGAGACTTCTGCCTCAGAGAGTGGAGAGAAGGATGAAAACGAGTGTATGTTTGCTGGTAAGATGTGTTTGACAGTTTGTGGTGTGGCAAATTGTGCACTGAGTTGATTACAATTACATTTTGACAACAAAAATTACATTTTGATTGCAAACTACATTTTGATTACAAATTACATTTTGATTATAAACTACATTTTGATTACAAACTACATTTTGCTTACAAATTACATTTTCATTACAAATTACATTTTCATTACAATCTACATTTTGCTTTATTGAATATAATGGGAGGATTCTAGTTTGGTGCATCATTCAGTGTAGCAACTGTATTTTTTACTCTCTTTTTTTGTGCTAAAGATCATTACTTTTAGAATGGCTGCATTGTACATGAAAAAGGTACAAATTGGGATCCCAAAGCACAAATCTGATCTTCTATTGAGAGATTTATATTATCCAACATTAAATGAATGTCAAAATTAGTTTTAAGTGGTGTTTGCGCTCAAGTTTCTTTTCTTATTTGATTGAATTCACCAAGCAAAGTCATGCAATAAAGTGAAATTTTTTTTATAATCAGTTTCAATTTAGTTCATCTTAGAAAAAAATATGAATTGTAGGTTAAGAATGAAAATGTGACATTTTATAAGAGTTTCAGGGCCTGTTTTAAACCTCATTCATTTAAATCTGCCAAGAAATCAGATTTATAAGCTGCTGATCAGGTTACTATTCAGAGCTCAGTGAAATGTTTCCTATGATCCCGACAGAGAAAGAATATCAAGAGCATCAAAAATAATGACAGGTTTATATCGGGTGCAGACTTATAAATGTGGTATAAATTTAAACACCACTGGAAAACACGTCAGGTTTTTTTGTGCTATTTCTGTGCTTTTTGTGTTATTTTTATGGACACATTTCCACTTTTGAAATAAAAGTCATTCAAAAACAGCCAACAAAAGACTAGCATAACTCAGAAATATCTCCAGATGTCTGTGTTTAAAAATACACTTGTGCCAGATTTAACGAACAGCCGCGTTACATCATACTGTACAGGCCATCAGATTTTTTCAGTCACACTTATAATACTGAATTTTGACATCTTCTGAACAGTGAGTGGTGCATGACCGTGCAAAACTCACAACCATGATACTAGAATGTCTGCAAGTTGCTAAGGTGTCTTAGGTAGTTTGCTTACTGGTCCAAAGAGTCCGACACCATCAATTCTCTGTGTTTTTCTGGTCTGTGGGATTTTATCACTTGTTTCTCTCTTTCTAGTGGCTCCCATATTGAAAACTGGCACTCGGTTCTGAGGAATGGACTGGTCAATGCCTCTTATACTAAACTGCAGGTATGTAAAAGCCATCAGTCAGCTGACCTCAGCTCATGTTCTCTGCAGTCCAGATGATCTGTTCTGATCGTAATGGATGTCCGACTCCTTCAGTCTGCATTTATGTCTGGAATCAGGTCCTTTTCTGACTGCAGCCAACACTATTCTACTTTCTGTAGTAAAGGATGGATGGTGTGTGATTGGCTGCGTTCAGAATGGAATGCTAGCTTACTGCTTACTTCACAGTATGTGCTGTATAGTGCTGACTATGTAAGAGTAGTAAGTGAAACGGAATGCAACATTTGAAACAGTAATCTGCAACATTGTTTCACTCAACCTCATTGTGTTGCATTTTAATTCTCACTGCAAAAATGGTTTCCTTTTTCAGTATTTTTCTCTTGTTTTCCAGTACAAATATCTAAACGTTCTTAAGTCAAGATACAAAATGACATAAAGATAACAAGCGAAATGAAGTGACTTTAGGTTTAAAACGAATGGGGTCAGAAAAATGTACTTAATTATGTGACCTGACCTGATTGATGTTTTTTTCTTGTCACTTGCATTTGATGATCAGAAAACATGACTTTTTATCTTTTTGCTGTCATTTTTCATCTTGATTTAGGATTATTTGTACTGGGAAACAAAACAAAAATACTGAGGAAAAATTTTTTTTTTTTGCAGCGCCATGAGAGCGCTTGTCATCTTTGAAATAAATGATTATTATGCATTTTTAATCCAATTTAGTGTAGAAATGCATGTTTAATTCTTAGCGAAATGATTTCCTTCTTCAGTGTTTTTGTTTTTTTTATTCTAGTACAAATATCTCAACATTCTTAAATCAAGATACATTTACTTGAAGTAAAATGACATACAATAATAAGTCTTGTATTCTGAGAAATTGATCAAAATGAAGTGACTTTATGTTTAAAACAAGGAAAAATGTCAGTCAGTGGGGTCAGAAAAATGGACTAAATTCAAAAAGGAAAACTAGTTTATTTTTCTGAATGGTCAATATTTTTTCTTGTTTCAAGTATAACATTTTGTACGTTTTTCAAAAAATAAGACTTGTCTTTTTACTGTTATTTTGTATCTTGATTTAAGAATGTTTAGATATGTGTGCTGGAAAACAAGACACAAATTCTGAAGAAGAACATGATTTTTTGAAGTGCAGTGAGCAGTTTAATCCAATTTAGTGTAAAAATGTATGAACTTTTGTCAGACTGATCAAATAATGTTACAAATCATGGCAGATTTTACTTCTGGTTCGTTCATCACACTGGAAGTGGAAGGTGAAGTTGCATTGCATTGTTGGATACAGAACATTATGGTAGTATCCTATAGTGAACAGTTAAAATAAATGTCGTTCTCAAGCTTTGTTTCATTGCACTTCACTGAAGACTGTGAGATCAGTGGCGTTTGATGAGGTTTCTAGAGGGTTTGTGTTCAACATTGAAGATGAAGTTTACCAGGAAAACAACAAAATCCTCCTGGAATGATCTTTTTCTATAAGAACTTTCCATCTTTAATTCCATGTCAGTCATTTTCACGTCATCTGGTGCTTGTTGATGCTTTTCTCCTGGAAAGACGTCCATCGTTTCATTCAGTCATACATCTATAAACTCTCATGAGACTGAACGTTAATTTCGCTGTATAATGCATGTTCATGCATCTTCAATGGAAACCATCATCATCATCATCACCTGTCTTCTTCCTAAGTGCTTCACTGGTTGTTTCTCATGCTTTCTTCTTCATTCATTGAATGCATCCCATCAGACGTCTGTGTCTTGCTGTGATTCTTTGGGCCACAGCTCAGATGTGAAAGCGTTTCTGGCGTGTTTCTCTTCTTTCACGGGGAGCGTGTGCAGAGCGTGTAACTCTCTCCTCCTCTTCTTCTCTTTCATCAAAGCTGCATGGAGCAGCGTACGGGAAGGGCATCTATCTGAGCCCCATATCCAGTATTTCCTTTGGATACTCAGGTACGATCCAGACCCCGCGCCTTCCGTGCTTCGCTGTGGGTTCTTCATCACATCTCAGTCTCTCTCTCTCTGTAACAAACACCTCAGTCTGTTTTCTGATCCATATGAATGCTGCTTTGTTGTGCGTGGACACATTTTGTGCGTGCAATTTTTTTTGTTGTATGTGCTGAATTGCTTTTCCTTTTCCACACTGCAAACAATCATTCTCTTTATCCGTATTTTGTCTAAAACTATCCTTAAAATAACATACTTTTACTTCAGAAGCGAATTTGGGAAGGACTAGTTTTCAGTGTTTATTTTTCTCGTTAGCAAATTTCTCCTTTTAAGTCTAATCTGCTCTACCTTTTGTTAATTTCTTCCACTTAAAACATTGATTTTCTTCTTCAGAATTTTTGCATTATTTTTGCAGTGCAAATATCTAAATATTCTTAAATCGTTACATTTAGTTAAGAGGCTAAATGAATTAAGGCATTAATAAATATATAAGATATTAAGTCTTGTGTTCTGAAGAATATAATTGTAAAAAAGTAAAAATGTAAATAAAATAAAAAATCTGCCAATTAGGTAAGAAACATTAAATTTATTTAAAGGGAAAACAAGATTATTTTTCTGACCCCAATGACTATTTTTTTTCTTTCTTTTTTTAAGCATAAAGTTGCTTAATTTTTAATTATTATATTATTGTATTAATAGTATTAATTCAGAAAATAATACTTATTTAATGTCATTTTGCTTCTCAAGTGATTGCAACTTAATAAAAAAAAAAAAAAACAAGACAAAAGATATTGAAGAAAATTTCAGAGAAAAAATGGGATTTAAAAAATATGTTTTAACAACGTCGTTTGCACTGCGCTCTTGCGTTACTTGATCTTTTTATTTTGGTGCGTCAATCTGTTGAGTTACTTAGTATAGGAAATTATGATCCGCACTCACGAGAACAATCTTCTTTTTTCTTTTATTTTACATTCATTACTGATGGGAAAAGACACAAACGTTTCGGCTCAAAGCCTTCCTCAGTGTGTAAAGCAACTCAATCCCTCCACCCTCCACCCATATTTAAAAAATATGTAAAATAATAATAATAATAATATAAAAAATAAAAAAAGTCATAAAATCTCATGCAATGCTGCTTCTCAAGTAAATGTTTTTTAAGGATGTTTTACTGGTGAAAAGGCAAACTGACTATACAAGAAATACTTAGTAAAAACAAAAAATACTGTCCAAAAAAAAAATATATATATTTTTGCAGTGCATGAAGACGTGCCAGTGCTGTTGCCAAAGTCGAGGTCCAATCTGATCTCACAAGTTTCCAATGAACAACAACACCTCAGACTAGTTAGTAGCTGGGTTTAGTGTTAATTGCACATAGAAAAATAACCAACAACAAAATAAACCAAACTGTATTTCGGACACTGTATTAATAATAAATTATAGAAACAAATATATACTGTATACATAGATAAAAAAAAAAAAGATTATATTCCAAGAAACAAGAGTGTTTGAATGCAAGTTACATAAAAATGCAGTTCTTTCAGATATATAGCCTCATTTGAGCACCGTCATCATTTCACTGGAAAAGAGATGAATATTAGATCAAATGATGATTTATTTCTTCTCTTTTGTATGTGTTCAGGAATGGGGAAGGGCCAGCATCGCATGCCCACTAAAGATGAGTTAGTCCAGCGATATAATCGAATGAACACAATGCCACAGGTACGACAGAAACATTAAAACATTTGAGCTGTGCTGGGCGTCTCAGAGCAGTAACTGTGTGTTATTTGTCCTTCAACAGAGTCGCCCCATACAGTCACGCTTCCTCCAGAGCAGGAACTTAAACTGCATCGCTCTCTGTGAAGGTAAAACATCTCAGATCTCACCTGCTCTAACAATTCACTCAGTTCTGGCTTGAGTAGAGAAAAAAAAATTATAATTGTGAGCCTGGAGCACAAAAGCAGTGTTAAGTCGCTGGGGTATATTTGTAGCAATAGCCAACAATACATCGTATGGGTCAAAATACTGGTTTTGTGGTCCAGGGTCACATATTGCTTAATAAATTATCTTGTGTTGGGTTAAATCCTGTTTCTCAGCCGAGACTGATGTATGAGATGAGTGTTTCTGTGTTGACAGTGATCACATCCAAAGACCTGCAGAAACATGGCAACATCTGGGTGTGTCCGGTGTCTGACCACGTCTGCACACGCTTCTTCTTCGTGTGAGTATCTGTCTACGGAAGCCTTAAGAGGCCATGCATTTCTTTTTTCTTGTTTTCTTCTGATCGCAACTTAATTTTCTTGTGAACCCGACATAACAAAAGCTTGTTTTCTCGTGATCTTGACATAAAAAACTGGCTGTTTTCTGGCGATCCAGACACAGAAGTTGTTTTCTCGTGATCGGGATTCAATTTTCTGTAAGAGAGAAATCACAGACATGTATAAATGATGTATATACAGAAATTATTATAAATATGTGCAAGAGGAAAAGGTGCACAAAATTGTGATGATTGAATTTACATATTACATATGTAAATGTATTGCACAGTGTATCTATAGCCATAGTTAAATAGTTACCATTAGTTACTAGTGTTATTTTTAGTATTATTTATGTATTTTTATAGTATTTATTAATTAGCTTTTATTTGTATGTTTTTGGTTTTCATTTTGTTATGTGCTTTTGTAATTTTTATTTTATCTCCAATTAGCTTTATTTTTTATTTCAGTTTTAGTTTTAGTCATTTTAATACTTGAACGTGTTTTATTTCAGTTAGTAGCCAAGGCAACATTTGTAATTTTTATTCGTATTATATTTTATTTCGATGAACGAAAATTGCAAGTTTTATTGCAAAATGAATGAAAAAAGTTTTAGTTGACAATAACAACACTAATAGGCTACTTTCAAGATAAAACCAATTACAAAACATGAATGTTGTAATCTCAAGTATTGCATATGAACTATTATTTGAATGCGATGTGTGTCTCAGGTATGAGGACGGTCAGGTGGGAGACGCAAACATCAACACACAGGAGCCCAAGATCCAGAAGGAGATCATGCGTGTGATCGGCACCCAGATCTACTCCAGCTGAGGCCGTTTCTTTCCTCCGCTCTATCCATCTCTACTTTCTTCCGTCCTGTCTTTCGCATGGGATGCGGGATGAGATGAAGGGAATCTTCACGATAAGCCCCGCCCACAACCCTTTGACTTCCCACAGAGCCGCTGTCAGTCAAAAGCAGACAGGCGCCTGATTGGACGAGACGGAACTCGCCGGAGCGTGAAGTCGCATCTGTCGCTCGGATCGTTTCTCACACTAAATATCTGTACACGTAAAAACAAGAAAGTCATTTAAAATGTTTTTTGCGTAGTAAATGATGAGTCTGTGCGTTTTATTGTGTTCGTATCTTCTTCGTCTTTCTCCTCCGCTGCTCTTTCTGACTGATGACATGTATTAATATCCCAGATGTATTTATCTCCTGAGTTTCCTGCTGAAATTAATTTCCCGTCTTTTGTTGCTCGGCTCCGCTTACACGATTTATCGTTTCTCATGTTTATGCTTTTTGGTGACGTCATCTGAAAGCTTTATATCCACAAAGCTCTGCAGTATAGGATGACGTACACTAGCAGTCAAACATTTGGACACATTATTTATTCTATTTTCACATGTTGCAATAATAGTAAAGTGTGCAAACTCTGAAATCACACAAATGTAAGTCAAAACTCTTTTAAAGTTGCACTCGTCTCTTCTTCCCTGTCGTGACCAAAGCTTGAAATCACTCCTCGGCCGATTTGACGATTGCATTTTTAGGCACAGTGCTAATTCGTAGTGCTTTACATAAAAAGGCTTTAAAATAATCATCAAATAATTACAATAGATGCATAATAAATAAAAAGCATGCATAAGAAAAAAAAAGATCAAAAATTGATCTAGTTGTATTAAAACCATTAAGAATTCAATTTAAAAAGTTGCACGCTGTTCGGAACAAGCCAAAACAAAAATATCAGTAATAAACCAGATTCTAAGAGCTTAGATTGAAATATATGTATTATTAAACCTGATTCTGAATCATTCAGTTGAAAGATTTATGACAGTCAGTCATTGTTTGTGGATGTCATTAAAATAAAATCAAGTAAAATAAAATTCTAAACCGCATTTATTTTGTTGCAAGTTTAATTTTTTGTGATATTAGAAAATGTATTTGAATTTTTAGAGACATGCCACTTGTCATCCAGTGTGTGACCATGCATCTTTATGATTTGTTTTAGTAATATTATGAACATAACTTACTAATCATAACCTGTCAATATGGCTAGTGAGTTATGTGTTAACCGGCATGGTTAATTTTGACCTGTATTTGACAGGTTGGCAGGTGTTGCATGGATAAATCATTTATACGATATTCCATAAAAAAATTATTGTCAATTTTGAAGAAAAAAAAAGAGAGAGAATTTCCTTTTTTTTTTAAAAAAACCATATGCACAGTATGTTTTTGATTTCAGTCATTTAAGCAGATGTTTTGTGTCCAAACGTTTGACTGCTGGTGTTCCTCCTTATTCTGTTGGTTCTCTGGCGTTTGTGAGAAATGTTAAATGATTTGTTTGAAGGTGCTGCACTGATTCTCTCATGCACCTTCTCTTCTGGATCTGTGTTGGACATGCAGGCCTGATGGAGGCTGTAAATAATGAAGGACAGGAGGAATGCTGTCAGCAGGTCTTTGGATGCTCTGGATCTGGTTTCTGATGTTTCTGATGTGGAGCAGACCCCTCAGATCTCCTGCTCTTTGGTCGTGCTGTATGAACTGCGGTTGTACAGGTGGAATTGATGCTGAACTCAATAAATAAAGAGAGGTTTTGCACAATTTTAGATGCTTAATTTCTCTCTCATGTTCATTGATGCAGATGATGGGTTTTTTCCATGCAGTGTTGTCTTTTTTACATCAGGTGCCGTGAATGTCGCTTTAGCAATGGATTCTCAGGTAAATCTGTGATGAACAGTTGCCGTGTTTTGCAATATTCAGTTATCAGCATTAGATTAGAAATATCATATTCTCTCTGCTTTACAGTCTTCATTCTTTCAATATTTGAAGTTTGGGAGCATTATCATCAGTCTAGTGAGCAACTGATATATCAGCTAATTGGTTAATTGGTCAACAAAAATGCATCGGTTTCATCAGTGAGTAATACACATATTTTCTTTTCAGATATTTTGAGTGTATTTTCACTAAATATTGTATTAGTACATTTATTTAGTAAAATATTGCAGTAAAAAAATTAGTAATTTTTTAATAATTCAGATATTTTTGTATGCATTTTCACAAAATATTTTCAAATGAAGTATTAAATAAAATGTGTTTAGTTTAAATTGTAAAGTAAAAATAGTATCATTTGTTTAGTAAACACTTTGGTTGTTTTTTAGTATTTTCGAGTGAATTTTCAGTAAATATGTAAATTAAATATTAAATTACAATTTATAAAAGTGTAATCAATATCATTTTAGTAAAAAAATTGTAGTAAAAACTTTAGTATTATTTTTTAGTAATTAGGATATTTTTGAGTGAATTTCCAATAAATAGTTTAAATAAAATATTAAATTACATTTTCTTAGTATATTCTTTTTTAGTAAAAATTAATAGTTAAAATTTTTTACTTTTTTAGTAATTAGATTTTTTTTGGTGTATTTTCCCTAAATATTGTGTGAATTAAATATTAAATTACATTTTCTTGGTATAATTTTAGTAAAAAAAAAAAAGTTTTTTTTGTTTTGTAATTCAGATAATTTTTAGTGGATTTTCAGTAAATATTCTGTAAATTAAATATTAAATTACATTTTATTTGGATTTAATTATTTATTTATTATTTTGTGTTTTATACAGCAGTTCCAGTTCACTAATTCATTTGTTTACTGCAGTTGTTTTCAATGAGGGAGCAAAATTAAACATCATATCTGTGTGTATAGTGTCTACAGAATCAAAAAGAGCTTCATTGCCAAGTATGTTTACACACACAAGCAATTCGTCTTTTGACAAGTTAATTCGATTTTAACTTGTGTATTAAGCTGTTGTATAAAAGCAATATCACACTCAATTCAATTCAATATGTGCTTTATTGGCATGACAATTGTTACAATGTATTGCCAAAGCATAGTGTTTACATTGAATCTAGAACATATATATATATATGCAACAAAAACATGCATGTATATACATTTAAAAAGTAGAACAAATTAACATTCAGCCATGATGCTGTTCTGGACATCAGTCATGTGATCACCAGCGAACCAATCACAGTCATGATGACTCCAGAACAACAGCACGACTGCGTATGACTCATAAAGTATCAAGCATTCTGTCGGCCAAATATGTGACTCTGGAGCACAAAACCAGTGTTAAGTCGCTGGGGTATATTTGTAGCAATAGCCAACAATATCCTGGGGTCAGACAGGTGTGTGTCTCTTCTGTCTGTACTTGAGTCTCCTTCTCTCTCTGCTCTCGTTCTCTGGCAGCGTCTTGAACACACACTGGAATGCAGGGCCGTTTCTAGGCATAGGCGAGCTAGGCGGTTGCCTAGGGCGCCACCCAAGTCTGCATGAATGATGGATGTGATTATCAATGTGCTAAACCTATCAGAGGAGAGAAACATCATCCGACTTCATTTCTTCTGTCAAACACAAAAAAGGTGTTTATATTTTAATTATGTGGCCTTATGAGACTAAATCGGTGGTTTAACAACCTTTTAGACTCTAAGGCGAACATTGACCAACACAATGTTCAAAGACATAAAGTAAGATATTTACTCCAGCATTACTGCTGTAATTATGACAAAGCTTGTTTTCCAACTTTTCATTCATAATCGATTCATTTATATATATATGAATTAATCACAATTCATTTTGTGATTCCAGAAATTTCAATATATATGTTCCCAAAAAAAAAGTGTAATTTAAATTTAGATTAATACAAATGAATTAAATTATTTAATACAAATATTATTAATAATAAATAGAATTAAAATATTAAATAGTAAAATTATTGTAAATTATTAATAAATAATATAATTTCACATCTTGATTGTATGTTTTTTATGGTCTCAATTAGACTATTTTAATCTATTAGTAATAATATTGTATTAATAAAAAGTTGTAAAATAATATTTTATAGTTTCATTTACATCTTCATATTTTTATCATTTCAGTTATATTAGATTTCAAAATATTAATAATAATATTAATAGAATATCAATATTATCTATTAATAATACTTTACTATTAATTATTAATTTATTAAATAATTTCATTCATAAATTATTAATATTTAAATATATTTAAACATATTTGAGAGAGAGAGCAGATGCTCCGCAGCTCTTTGTCTCTCTGCTCATGTCATCCATTTCTTTTTTAATCATTTATTTCTCACTTAATCAGTTTTGTCGTGCTTTGTGTCGTGTTCGCTGAGAGACTGTGTGTATCTCTCTGAAGCATTGTGTTTGTGTCTTTGTCTTTGCTTTAATTCGTTTTGGATTAATTCCGTCGTCTTCAGAGACGATCCTAATTCCCTATTATTTCCACTCCGCAAACACAGTCTTATCCATCAGTCCCTTTTCTTTCCCTTTTCTTTCTTTTTTTGCTCAGACATCACATGAGGTTAGTGATCTGAACCAAACACTAGGAGTTGAAGTTGAGTGTAAGAGCAGCGTTTGTGGTCCAGACATGAATTATTCCTCAAATTATGTGTTTTTACTTTAGTAAGTGATCAGATGCAGCATGACGTGATGAAGCAGGTGAAATGAAGAGATTCACTCGTTTAGCACTCGTCTGCTCAGTCTGTCAGCTGTCAATTCATGAGAACAACGAGGACCATCTCTGCCTTTCTCTGCTGCTTTATACTTCTGCTCAACCTTTTGTAGATCTCTGTGTGAGTGTGTGTTGAGGAATCAGTCAATTTACAGGAGAGTAATTTAATTGTGAGGAGGAATCTGAGCTAGCCACAGTGACAGCAGCACCAACACACACACACACACACACACACACACACACACACAGGGCATTTCTCTTTTTTTAATGTTTTGAAAGAAGTCTCTTCTGCTCACCAAGACTGCATTTATTTGATCAAAAATACAGTAAAAACAGTTAAATATTATTACAATGTAAAATACCTGTTTTCTATGTGAATATATATTAAACTGTAATTTATTTCTGTGATGCGCAGCTGTATTTTCAGTATCATTACTCCAGTCTTCAGTGTCACATGATCTTCAGAAATCATTCTAATATGCTGATTTGCTGCTCAAGAAACATTTCTGATTATTATCAATGTTGAAAACAGTTGTGCTGCACAATATTTTTGTGGAAACCGTGACACGTTTTATTTTTCAGGATTCACAGATGGACAGAAAGTAAAAAAAAAACAGCATTTATTTGAAATAGAAATCTTTTGTAACATTATAAATGTCTTTACTGTCACTTTTGATCAATTTAATGCACCCTTGCTGAATATAAGTATTAATTTGTGCTTAAATGTGAGTGTAATATGAGTCTCACCGAGCTCTGTGATGATGGGAATGTTTGCTCCGGTGGTTATGGACACCTGCCGCACCAATCCATGTACGGGACTGTTCTCCGGAGACGAGCGATCCATTCCAGGAGGAGTGAAGCCTGGAGCAGAGCACAAAAATACATGAATACAGCGTCATTCCATGTTAAATCAACCACATTTCAGAAACTTCCCCAGCTCCAATTTTTGATTTTGTTAATATTTTTTCTCAAGAAAGACAAACATAAATAGCGATAAAAGCCATAATATTAAATGCAACGAGTGTAAATTAACTGAGTAATGCACTATTTTGTAGAGGGGGTCAAAATGACATTTTCACCTGAGATTTGGAGCCAAATTACAGGGGGTAATAATGGCTTCAGGAAGCTGGCAGCATCATTATATTATTTTTACACAGAGATTTGTTGCTCTATTAGTAACATCTGTTGACTTTAGCAATCTTTGTTGCATTATATGCCAACGGTGACCATTCAAAAATGGGGAAAAAAGCACTTTTCAAGCTTTTTTCTTAGGTTTGTAGCCCTGTAACTCAAGAAGTATTAAAGTAATCTTAATGCCCTTTTAGATTGTGTGTGTGTGTCTGTCTGAGTGTATGTGCGTGCATGTGTGTGTGTGTGTTTGTATCTGTCTGAGTGTGTGTGCGTGCGTGTGTGCTTGTGTGTGTGTGTGTGTTTTTGTGTGTCACATGTTCCCAGCTCTCCCTCCTGCTGCGGCGACTTCAAAGATGCCCACAGTGTCTGCCAACAACACACTGTTACTGCAGCACACTTTACCCACAATCCCCCTCTGCGCTCTCTGAGAACCGTTCAGCTCCTCCGTCGCTCATTATGAAGTAAAAAAAAGTGTTTTCATAATCTTTCACAGAAACGTATGAACGAATCCCTCGTTTTTT